CCCCCTGAGCCTCCTTTTCTCCAGGCTGAGCCCCCCCAGCTCCCTCAGAAGTTCTTCAGCCCCTTCTCCCTGTGCCACAGCCCCTTGCCCAGCTCCATTCCTTTCCCTGGACACCCTCCACCCCCTCAATGTCTGTCTTGTCCTGAGGAGCCTAGACCTGCCCCCCCTTGCCCAGCCCCATTCCTTTCCCTGGGCACCCTCCACCCCCTCAATGTCTGTCTTGTCCTGAGGAGCCTAGACCTGCCCCCAGGACTGGAGATGCCTCAGCAGTTCCAGGCAGAGCGGTCACTGCTCTGGGCCCACTGCCACGCAGTGCTGGTACAACCAGGTGCCAGTGCCCTCCTTGCCTGGCTGGGCACAGCTGGGGGTGCTGAGCAGCAGCTGTGGGAGGGAGGAACTCACCAGCTCGTTGGCGTGCTTGGACCAGGCGAGGTTGCAGACCTGGGAGCCGGTGTCGATGCACTGCAGGGGCTGTCCCGTCAGCGTGTTCCAGAAGCGGATGCAGCGGTCGGCCGTGCCCCCGCCCGAGGCCAGGAGCCCGTGCTGGTGTGGGGACCAGGCAATGGCTTTCACTGCTGCCAGGTGCTCTGTGTACTGCTGGACAGGGCTCAGGCTGGAGTGGTTCCAGACGAGGAGCTGGCAGAGAAGAGAGATGTGATCAGACTTGTGCTGCTGATATGGCCACAACACCCACAGGCTGTGATCACAGAATCACAGGGTGTTAAAGGGTTGGGATGGACCTCAGAGATCCTCCAGCCCCAACCCCTGCCCTGGGCAGGGACATGTCCCACCAGAGCAGGTTGCTCAAGGCTTCAGCCAACCTGGAATGAAACACTGCCAGGGTTGAATGGTGACTGGATTGAGTGATGAGACTGCACGTGGGCAACAAGGTGATGTCCACCAGCTCTGCCCAGGCAGGCACAGCTGCACTCTGTTGGAATTCACAGGATCATGGAATGATTTGGGTTGGGAGGGACCTTAAGTTCATCTCATTCCAATCCTTGCCATGGGCAGTGACACGGAGCCACACAGAATCTCCTGAGCTGGAAAGGACTCACAGGGATCATCAATCCAACTCCTGCCCAGGACACCCCAACACTGCACCCTGTGCCTGAGAGCATTGACCAAACACTCCTGGAGCTCTGTCAGCCTTGGGGCTGTGACCACTGCCCTGGGGAGCTGTTCAGTGCCCAAACACCTCTGGGGGAAGAACCTTTCCCTAATACCCACCTAAACCTGCCCTGACACTTTCCACTAGCCCAGGTTGCTTCAAGCCCTGTCCAGCCTGGATTTGAACATTTCCAGGAGTGGGGCAGTCACAACTGCTCTGGGCAACCTGTGCCAGTGCCACTCCCAGGCCAAGAGGCAGGTGGCAAAAAAAAGGACTGTCGTGGTTTAACCCCAGTCAGCAGCCAAGAACTACACAGCTGCTCACACACTCCCCCACCAACGGGATGGGGGAGCGAATCAGAAGGGTAAAAGCTACAAAAACTCATGGGTTGAGATAAAGACAGTTTAATAGAGAAAGCAAGAGCTGCACACACAAGCAAAGCAAAACAAGGAATTAATTAACTGGTTCCCACAGACAGGAGGTGTTCAGCCCTAAGGGCATGAAGCCAAAGACACTGTGGCACAGGACAGGACCTCAAGTCCTTCTGTTGTCTTTCTGGCTGCAGCACTCCAGAACATCTCCAGAAATCTGCTCAGATGATTGGGAGTTATTCTGAGCATGACGACTCATTCCAATCATGCTGTCACACAGACACTGGGCACATTCCCTACCTAGCAACCCACTCCAGAGGACTTGGAACAAGCTTCTCCATGACAGATGCTTCTCCCATATGGTGCTCAGTGAGCTCCAAGCCTGAGGTACAGGTATGAGAACTTACAGAGCTCTACCTCAGGTTCCTTCTGCACACCAACATTACTGCAACAAACGTGACCAACATTACCGCAACAAATGTGACTTAGGCACGACCTGAACAAAGTCAGAAAGGGCAGCTGAGCAGTGGCTTTGTTCAACTCAAACCCCTGAGTCAAGCCAGAGATTTAATTAGCCAAATACAGAAGCCAAATTAAATTTGCCTTTCTAATTTTATTAGGAAGAGAAGACTGAGTAGGAGATCAGCATGATTTATGTTTGGACACAATCCAGCAACTGGAACAAAAGCCTTTCAGAGAGGCCAAACTTCCTTAAAGAATCACAGAAGCATTAAGGTTGGAAAAGACCTTTAAGATCAAGTCCAACCTTTAACCTAATCCCACTGTGCCCACTGAACCATACTGCAAAGTGTCACATCCACCTGGTTTTTGACCACTTCCAGGGATGGTGACCCCACCACTGCCCTGGGCAGTTGTGCCAATGCTTGACCACTCTTCCAGGGGAGAAATTTTCCCTAATCATGGAATGGTTTGGGTTGGGAGGGACCTCAAAGACCATCCAGTTCCAAGCCCCTGCCATGGGCAGGGACATCTTTTGCTAGCCCAGGTTGCTCCAAGCCTCATCCAACATGGTTTTGGAGACCTCCAGGGATATAAAACACCTAATCTGAACCTCCCCTGGTGCAACTTGAGGCCACTCCCCCCTGTCCTAGAACAAGAAGGGGTCTGACATTTCATGTGACCCTTGGCAGCACCGTACCTTGTTATCATTCCCTCCAGAGGCCAAGAGTTGGTGGTCTGTGGACCATTTGAGGCCACAGACCTCCTGCCTGTGGCCCTGGAGGCGCCGCTCGGACTGCAGGGGAGGGGTGCGGATGTCCCTCTGCAGGATCATCCTGTCCCGGCTCCCAGAGGACAGCTGGTCTGCATTCCAGGCCAGAGCACCTGCAACAACACAGGGAGAGCATCAGAGCGTGTTCTGGGAGTCACGGAATCAATACAGTTGGAAACGACCTCCGGAGCATCAGAGCGTGTTCTGGGAGTCACAGAATCAATACAGTTGGAAACAACCCCCAAGGTCATCAAGTCCAACCATCAACCAACGTGTTCAGCACTAACCATGTCCCCTAGTGCCACATCCACATTTCTGAACACCTCCAGGGATGGTGACTCCACCACTGCCCTGGGCCTGTGGCCACATGTCAAGTCCAACCTCTCAAGCCCTGCAGGAGTAGGTCAGGAGAAAACAGCCACCACAGCTGCCAAGCTTTAAAAAAATCCAACAAACCCCAACCCAGTGCTTAAAGACCTCCCTGAAAGTCACTTTCTGGAGCCCCAGAGCTGTGCACAGACTCACCTGCACTGCAGTGTCACCAACCCCATCTGACAGTGCAGTGAAGCACAAGAATAGAGCTCAGGAGGAACTCTGATTTGCCAAATCCCACCCCAGAGTGCAGATTGTGCCTCTGAGCAGCAAAACAACAGCTCCCCCAAAAAAGGGAACTGGCAATCTCAGTGGGAAGCTCTGCAGGGCTCAAACAGGAAGGCAGTGGCAGTGAGAAGATGTTGTAACTGAACCCAAAATGCCTCAGCCATGAGGAAACACCTGCTGCAACACCCAACCACCATCACCCCCACATCACTGCACCACAGTGAGTAGATGCTAATACTCTGAGGCAGCTCAAGGCACAGCAGGGGATAAATATCAACCCTGGTACTCCAAGTCCTCCATTTCCAGCAGATTCCTGGCTAACAAAGCTCAGTCAGAAAGGAACGACCCTGTGAAAGCTCTGCCTCCTCTCTCCTTACCCACTCTGGCTGTGTGCCCCTCCAGCATGGAGAGCTTCTTTCCTGCAGCTGCATCCCAGATCTGCACAAAGCCCTTGTGAGTGCCCACAGCCACCAAATTCCCCTGGAACAGAGAGGCAGGATCAGTACAGCAGGAACACTAGCCAGAAGCTGAGGAAAAGACTTGCAGAGATGGAAAGGATCCAGAGGTCTTCCATCTTCCATTTTTTGCCCCACTGAAAGGCTCAAGCAGCCTGGCTGGAATATATTTAGTGCATGTATATTGTGTGTATCTACAGTATTGAACATGCTTTATTGTCAAGAGCTGGAGAAGCAAATTGGCTCCTCCTCCCCCCCCTGCTCACAGCGAGAGCCTCCAGGTGCTCTCCATCCCCTCGCTCAGCAAGCAGTGCTGACCGGCACACACGTGTGGGGATGTGCACAGGGAGCTGGGGGCACCCAGGACAGCAAGCCAAGGAGTCACTCGTGGCTGTGATGCCAGTGACAAGTGTGTGAGGTGTCACATACTGACCCGCTCCGACCAGCCCACGGAGGTCACGGAATCTCCTTCCACAGAGAGGTCACACAGTCGGGTCACCTTCAGAGAGGACAGAATGGGGTAAGAAACAGGTATTTGTGTCACACAGCACTGCCTGGTTTGGGACAGAGAGTGACAACTCTCCCACAGCATATTCCACAGCTCTGGAAGGCTGGAAAAGCCTTACAGCAATGTTTGGGACAGAGAGTGACAACTCTCCCGCAGCATATTCCACAGCTCTGGAAGGCCGGAAAAGCCTTACAGCAAGAGGGACTTCACTGCTGCCCATTTACCTGACTTGTACAAGCACTCCACAGGTACACACAAGTGCCAAGGCCAACGCTGAGGACATTGAGAGAGGACCAGTCCACCAGGTTCAGGTAGAAGTCATCCTGCAGCTCTGGGGCATCCAATACTTTGAATGGAATCTTGGAGATTTTCCTAGTTGGTTTTCGTGGTGATCTTAGCAGTTTCTGACTGTTCACAACAAGAGAGAGAAAATCAGCTCCAGGACCTGCACATCCCAGCAGAGAGGAGGCACAGGGTCTTTCCAGCATTTCCATAGGAATTCAGGGACAAAGAGGTTGCACAACTCTTTCCAGCAGCAAGACTGCAAGGAATTAGGTTCTGCTTCAACAGAGGGAGCAAAAAGGTAAACTAAGAGTTGGCCAAGACATGTAGAAACTCTTAGAACTCAACTGTCCCCATTTATTCTCAATTCCCACTGCAGTTCCGGTGCCTCAGAAGCCCTGGAGAAGCTGACTGAACCCTCTGTCCCAGCCTGGGGAGGATCAGTGTTACCTTTTGTTGCTGACAGGAGACAGGGAATAGGGTGAGACCTCATTGCCATCATCTGGGCTGGAACGTTTTGTGCTCAGGGAATACTGCAGAGAGGAAACACACCTGGTAAGGACCCCAAGGCATCACCCCCAATGTGTGATGGTGCCTAGCTAACTCCAACACTCAGGTTTGTCTGTTCTTCCCTTTCCCAGATGCTCTGAAGCCATACAAACCCACTGAGGTCCAAGAGCTTGATTGGGTCATTACCACACTGCACAAAAAGCCTCTGGTTCCCCCCATATCTCTTGCTGCACACTCAGGTTCTCTTTGCAGCCCCCAAAATTCTGTTATCAACAGCCTATGTCTGTCAATCCTCAGCACTGAGTCCCTGCAGGAGCAGCCTGTGTGCTCTGTTCCTGCCACACACACGTGCAACTTCACTGGTTTTCATGCAAGTCACCAACTTACAGTGAAGAGAGACTTCTTCTCTGGGGTGGAAGGCTGCAGCCTCCTGTCCTCTGTCTGGGGGTCCTGCACCTTCTCAATCCCTGCTCCCAGGAGCTCATTCTTCAGCAAGGCAGAGTAGGCAAGGCCATCTGTGAAGACAAACAGGCACTGAGCAGAGCTCAGAGCAGCAACAGCTCTGCAGGGAGAGTCCTTCAACCCAAGCCATTCCATGATTCTATGACTGTACACTCACAGAGCCTCTTACTGAGCCTGGGGCCCCCATTCAGAACCAAGGGAAGTGCATGACTGTACACTCACAGAGCCTCTTACTAAGCCTGGGGCCTCCATTCAGAACCAAGGGAAGTGCTCCATCGGGAAAGTGCTTCCATGGCACAATAAATCAAGGGATACAAACAGCCTTTTTCTTCCCAGATGCTCAGCAGCAGTAGTGACCTGGTACTCACTCCTGATGGTGGCACTTCCCAAAACACCAGCAGCAGTTTTGGCTTCAGCATGAAAGTGCCAGTGTGGCCTTAGCTTCCAAACTCCCCAAGAGTTTGAACCTAGAGCTCTGGGCACGGCCCAGGTGGTAGGAGGAGGCTCTCACCTTTGCCATTGTCGGATGTGGCATCCTTTGCTTTTCGGTTTTGGCTTGGGGATTTCTCGTTTTCCTGAAATGGAGAAAGATGTCCTCAGCACGGAGAAACTATGGTATGTGGTGAAACAGCAGAGGGAGAAGGCTCCAGGAGCACAGGGTTTAAGGATATGCACTCAGAGCAACTCTTGTGGGGCAGCAGAGGCCCATGGTGCAGGAGATGAGCAGAGCAAAGCCAAAGGCACCATCTCCTCAGTGCCAAGGCTGAGCTGCAGGAGAGCTGAACTTACATTGATTCTGTGGAAGTTGATGCTCCAGTTGGCTCCAGCTCTTGAGGGAATGAATCTGTCCCCATGCTTGCTAGGAGAAGACATTGGAGAATTGGAAGGAGTCAGGGTTCTCCTCATCTCTGCCACCTGAATTCAAGAACAAAAGACACACACAAGTGTTGATCACAACAGAGGCCTGAAAACATCACTGAGGTGTTGGCAAAGCTGAATATGCCCAAGTAGAAGAGCTAAGCATCACTTTATCCTCTCAACAGAGCTAGTGAGCACCTGACGTGGAAACATCTGTCCAAATGAGCCATTAAACAGCCTCTTTCTCACTGCTCCTTCTCAAGCTGACACTGCCAACCAGACTGATGTCCAGGCTACACTGAAGGCCTCATCCAGTAGAGGTTTCAGCACCTCCAAGGACAATGACCCCACAAGCCCCTGGTCCACCTTGTGTCCTGCCCCTGGGCAGTACTCTCCACTGGCCTTTACCTTGTCAAGCCCTCAGTTGGTTGGTTTGTTAGCTCCTAATTTTTTACATTCCACATGTACTTATTGAACTGTGTAGTGAAAAGCCATTTCTGAGCTCCTAATTTTTTACATTCCACATGTACCTATTGAACTATGTAGTGAAAAGCCATTTCTGAACCCCATAAAAACATCTTCACTCCTTTTTGCATCCTGCACTGAGGTTATATATTCAAAGCTCTGCTGAACTCATGTGGGTGTTGGTAGAGCTCAGGAACTCACTCCTGCTCCCAGCCCAAAAGAAAGCTGAGGTTAGCTTCAAAGAGGCCCCAAGTTGTTCCGGAGCTCCAGGGGCACAGGGTGTACTCACACAGGGCATGGTGTTCTCATTCTGGATGTTGATCTGGCGCAGGAGACGCCTCTCGTAGTCCTGGTCCATGGTGGGAGCTTGGCTGGAGGGATCAGCAGGCTCAGGGGTTTATCTTCACCACTCGTTCACTGCAACAGAAAGGGGAAGAAAACACCCAAGTGTTACCCATCTCTATACAGCAGCAGCTTCTTCAGTCTCCTGAGCCTGTTCTTTACACTGGAGACCACTTTTCTTACTCGTAGCACTGGGACCAAACTGGTGTGATGTGGAAAGTCGCTTTGCTGAGCAGCCCTGTGCTGTGTTGCTGCCCTTGGCTGCACAGTGGTGTGCAGGCAGCTGCGACTGCGTGCGTGCCAGGACCTCAGCAGGTCCCCAGCTCACCTGCAGCACAGTTTGTCAGGTGTTCAGGACATGGTCATGGAAAATCCAGACACCCACAGCCTATCCAGGCAGTGGCACAGGTTGCCCAGAGAATCTGCGGCTGCTTCACCCCTGGAAATGCACCAGGCCAGGTTGGACAGGGCTTGGAGCACCCTGGGCTACTGGAAGGTGTCCCTGTCCATGGCAGGGGTGGGATGGGATGAGCCTTAGGGTCCTTCCAACCTGTCTGGGATTCCGTGACCGCACCACAAGCATCCATCCCACCCCTCAGGCCAGAGGCACAGCGGCAGCACTGAAGGTGTGACGAGCCGTGACAGAAGGACTGCAGACTCTTACCACCACCCACACAGCTATGGATGAGGCAGTCCTGGGGGAACATCCCACACTATGCCCATGTCATCCCAAACACTCTTCCTGAGCACAAAGCTCACTCACAGCTATGTAGTCTATGAGCAATAACATCCTTTAGGCATATATTTCAGGCCAGGGCTGCTTCATCACAGAATCACAGGACACTCAGACTTGGAAGGGACCCACAGGGATCACTGATCCAACTCTTGGCCTCAGGACATCCCTGAGAATCCCACCCTGTGCCTGAGAGCATTGCTCAAACGGAGCTCTGTCAGCCTTGAGGCTGGGACCACTGCCTGGGGGGCAGTTCAGTGCCCAAACACCTCTGGGGCAAGAAGCTTCTCCTGATACCCAACCTAACCCTCCCCTGACACAACTGCAGGCCATTCCCTCGAGTCCTGTCGCAGCTGAGACTTGGCTGGTAAACCACAACCTGTACCAATACGCAATAGATGAGCTGACACCTGTGTGAGGATACACAGACACAGCCTCACAGAGCTCCGAGGGCACAGAGCAGCCCAGTCTCCCCCTCACATACCCCTTGTGCTTTGGTCACAGCTGACGTGGGCACAAAAACAGCCACACCAAGTTGTTCTTTCAACCCAAGATAAACGTGTCCAAAGGGAAAGGTGGAACCCGACACACAAACAAATCCCCGCCACGCACAGGGTGTGCGGAAACTTAAGGGATTTTCATTCCTCCTATTGCATAAACATTTATGGCACCTGGAATGAGGCCAGGAGTCGCCTCAAGATACAAACTTGTGGCAAAATCAGAACACACAGAGGCTGTGCTGGGAGGAGGCTGCCACACTCAGGGACTGCCATGAACTGCCTCCCCTCGCTCTGCCAGCACTGCCTGCTGGGCACAGGTTACCTCCAACGACCAAACCCTGCCCAGAGTCACTGCTCAAAACTGGGGACATGTTGTCCAGCTACAGAGGGTCCAGCGGCACACGCTGCACCGCAGCAAGATGGGGTAAGTATTACAGCATTCTGTGGAGTCACCTGGAAAACAAGGCAAAGCAAACACTGCACAGCATCAGTCCAGGGTTTACCTCAAGGGGTCACAGCGAACGGGGTGGCATCAGGCTGGGCAGCAGTGAGCACTGAGGGTCCACAGGGCTCCACTTAGGGCAGGTTGTCTCTAACGTCTCCAGAAGTGACTTGGGCGCAGGACTGGGGGGTCCTGAGTGGGTGTGCTGAGGACACTGAAGTGGGAGGAGCTGCTGTTTGGTGAGGACACTGAAGTCCCTCGAGGACACAGAGGCCCTGACAGATGTGAGGGCTGAGGTTTAACAAGGGCAAGAGCCACATCCTGCCCCTGGGATGGGGCAGCTCTGGTCAGGGCCCCAGGGCTGACAGAGCTCCAGGACTATTTGGTCAATGCTCTCAGGCACAGGGTGCAGTGTTGGGGTGTCCTGGGCAGGAGTTGCACTGATGATCCTTCGGGGTCCCTGCCAGGTCAGGACATTCTACAGTTCTCTGATCTAAGCCATTTGTTAGCACTGAAATTTGGACTTCTTACAAATGCTGAAATGCAAAGGCCTTTTCTTCCTTGCCACGAAACCTGCCAACACTTCTCCAGGAGCACCCCTGAAACAGCTAGTGCCAAGCTGTTTCCCAGCACACCTGCTTACCTCTGCCACCTCCTCCCCCAGGCTCTCTTCCCTTTTCATTTGATACATTTCTCCCGTATGTTCTTTCGGAGGCAAAACTGGGAGAAAACTCCCAAATCTAACAGTGATCAGCTCCCACCAACTGAAACAAAGAGTCAGTGACAGCACTATGGGGGGTGAAAAGCCTGTGATGAGTAAAGGAGGTTGAGAAAACCTCAGTTTGTCGCTCACTTACCACTACCCTTACAGCTACCAAATGTGTGTCTCGAACCAAACAGCTCAACAAAACTCCCCCCCACCCTTTTCTTTTTTGGGGTTGTTGTTGTTCTAGCACCATGAGTAAGACAGCTCAGGCTGCAGAGCCCACACGAGGAGTGTGATCAGCTGGGGAACACCACACATGGCAAGTGTCCTCCCAAAATGCCTCACACACATTCCTGAGAGATCCACAGCCAGTTACACAGCACAGAGCCATTTTTAATTCTGCCTCTCAAACACATTTGCTTCTCCAGCTTTCCATTTCAGTTCCCATCTGCCCAAATTTCAGCTACAACTTCCACAGCACGCAGAGAATGTCCAGCTGAGACCCTGCACAGGCAGAGCACAGTGGGGAGTGTTCAGCACCTGAACAGTGACAGGTTCTTACCTTTCAGCCTGTGCCACTAACACAACCAGCAGCTCTGGTTCAGGGTAGGCTCTTGCCACCATTAAATTTGGCTGTGGGAAGGATAAAAAGGCTTTGCCAGGAGGACTGGGGGTGCTGCTTGGCAGCAGCTGACCATGACCCAGGTGTGCCCAGGTGGGCAAGGGCACTTGCCTTGTACCACCCGTGTGGCCACAGAACAGGGCAGCGTCTGCCCCTGTGCTGGCACTGCTGAGGCACCTCCAGTCCTGGGGGCAGTTCTGGGCCCCTCCAAAACAGACACTGAGGGGCTGGAGAATGTCCAGGGAAGGGAACGGAGCTGGGGAAGCGGCTGGAGCACCAGGAGCAGCTGAGAGATCTGGAGCAGCTCAGTCTGGAGAAAAGGAGGCTCAGAGTGGTCTTTCTCACTTTCTACAACTCCCTGGCAGGAGGTGCAGCCAGGTGGGGTCAGGCTCTGCTCCCAGGGAGCAAGGGACAGGATGAGGGGAAATGGTTTAGGTTGAATATATGGGGAAACTTCTTCTCCAGGAGTGTTGCCCAGCCCTGGCACAGACTGCTGAGGGCAGTGGTGGAGTCACCATCCCTGCAGGGATTTAAAAGCCTTGTGGATGTGACACTTGGGGCCATGGCTAGTGGTGGCCTTGGCAGAGCCGGGGAATGGTTGGATTCAGTGGTCTTAGAGCCGTTTCCAACCTGAATGATTCTGGGATTCCATGACTGAGGTATGCATGCTGGAAGTTCTCTTGAAGCTGCAGAAGGAGCTGCAAGTGTCACATACTTTTTTTGGGTACTACTTTGTTCCTAATTGTGTGGTTTCTGCTCGGAGAAGAAAGGTGGGTTTGGTGGAAGGTTCTGGATTACAAGGGAAGAATTTATATTCCAACCTTATTTTCCTCACGCACCACAGGAACCTCTGGGCTGGCTGGATTGTCTCACAGCTCACTGCCTGCAGAACAATACTTGCAGGCAGAGTTATGGGGCTGAACAAGTGCCTTTTGTTCTTTTATTGACCCAACCTTCAGGTGCACAAACACAGGAAGGTTTTATCTGGGTATGGATGTATTTGACACGCAGAGTGCCAGGCCTGGAAGGGGCACAAGAGCATTTATTTTGCAGTGATTTCTGTGGCTTGGGCAGGCTGCACCTGTTTGATTCCTCAGGTTGTGTTGGTTCTGTCACTTCACATATTCTCCGCTCTGGCAGAGCAAGAGCTGGACGATCCCTGACCCTTTTTTATTCCAGAAATTGTTTGTGTCCTTCTTAAAACTGGGAGGTGTTTGGTTGGGTGAGTGTTAAACTGTGCTGGTGAAAGTAAGACTCAGAATACCAAAGGCAGGAGAACTTTCAAAGGTAAAAGCTACAATAAGAATGAAGTTTTTATACATGTATATGTAAAATAAACATCATATAATTCCTAATTTAGGGCCAAAGGGGGTACAGGATATCTTGGTAATTCAAACCTCATTCATGTCATGTTGATGTTTTATTTTGAAGCATCTCAAGTTTAACAAAAAGGTTGCCTGGAGCTTTTTTTGCTAATAAGCCCCAAAACGTAGAGTTAGTTAGCCAGAGCCTCCCCAAAGCCAGACATGCTGCTTGCTCCTTGGGCCTGTGTTTAATGGCTTTAGGTTAAAAACATGTCATTATCCAGGAGCTGAGTATTTCCAAGCTCTCCAGAACCCCCCAAACATTTCTCAAGGGCAAAAGGATGGAGAACATCTCACACCAACGAAATCCCTCCAGGAATTGGCCTCCTTTCAAACAAAGCTAAAGCCTTCTGTTTTACCAATACTTCCCTTTTCAGAGCAACAAGGATGTCACTTTTTATCCAACAGTTTACTAACGGATCAGCGTGAGGAGCACTTAGAACATCAGCACCTCCTGCCCAGGGAGCTCACAAACCCCTTGATGCACTCACTGCCACCAGCTCTACAATACTCTGTGCCAAAAATGCCAACTTTTCCAGCTGGATTTGGAGGCAGACTGGCTCAAAGGCAGAGCCCCAAGACATTGTTTTCATTTCCTTCCAGGCTGGAACAGGAGTACAGAAGCTAAAGATGTTGCAATTCCATCCCAAGCTTAGGAGCCAAGTGGAATGCCAAGTGATCTGTGTCTCCTCCCACCTCCTGTGGCTCAA